ATTTCCTGAAACAGAGCACAAAAAACGTGTTGTGAATATGTTCTTGCAGCTAAAGTCTCACTTGCAGGGAGTGAAGATGGTAAGAATACTTGTTCTTTCTGATAGAGTAGTCGATGCTGCTGCTGGAGGATGTTTTCATAAAACATGGAATAGGTCTCAAAGTTGCAGCGTTCTCTGGCCATGATGTCACAGCCCAATGCAGTGAGGCAGCTTTGTAAATGATCTTTTGTAAATGAAATCTGGAGAGAGAAACAAAGAAACTCTCATGGATAATCCAAACCTTAGGTTTTGGTCATGTTCAGATTCATCGTGCTACAGTAACAGGTATTTCTTTTTCTCTTCCTGGTCCCTCACAACTCTGGTCCAAGGTATTCATAGTTTGGCCTGACCTTTCAGCCTGCCATTCAGAAAATGCCCACCCCTAGAGGGTTTTTTCACATGGAGACTAGTTCCTCCACCTGTAAATACTATACTCCAGAGGAAACCTTTCTTTTTCAATATGCCTTTGAAAGGAGAGAAGGAACAGGCCAGAAAAGGTGAAGTTTCCTCAAAACATGCATCAGTTCTTACAGATCAGAAAGTTTTGATGGGAAGGGGAAAAAGCCTTTCCTTTTCTCCCCTAAAATCACTCAGAATTTGGATGAAAAACAGAAGTGAGGCATGTGGCTAGTTTAAATATATGGTCATATCTCAGTGAAAACAGTGAAGCAGTTCTGAAAGACTTGACCTTTCATGATGATAGAATTTATGTCTAGAAAAAAACCTTTCATCCCCAAAAAATCCCAGTCACAAATGTTACCTAAATACAAGGATAATTTCATTCACTAGTAAACTGCCTCACCTTTGGGTAGATAGTGATAAACTATGTGAAAAATCCCTGCATTGCCCAAAAATAATCATTACAAGGTAAAAAACACAAACACAACTAGAAAATTAGAGTTGGAAACCCTGACTGTCAGCTCCAAAAATACCAGCTTCTACCAGTTAGCTGAGAAGAGGTCTGTCATGCTCTTTGTGGACCAGCTGAGACAAAGTAAAACATAAACAGCAATTTCATATAACAATATCAGGTCAGACATCAAAATGCCCATTCTGCAGTAAATTCTGACGGTATGCTTACTTTAGTTTTCAATCAGAATGAAAAGTCAAAATTCCAGGATTTCATGCAAAATCTAAATTCCAAAATGTTTTGCCTCAATAAGGTTGAAATATTTCATTTTAAAGGTCAAGTACCATGTAAGCTATACCATTAACATTAATATTATGTGTATATGATATAGAAGTTAAAATAATAAAGCCAATTATCTTCACTTCAGTGCTTCATCATCATTATTATTATTAATGTGAAACAAAGTTGACTCAGTTCATTTAGACTGTCCCGTCTAAAATGTCACTGAAATAGACTGGCTCCTGGAAAAATGTTTTGGCTTCAATGAAACTCTGGTTTCCAATGGGAAAACTGTTCTGGTAAAAAATTTGATCAATTCTAATGACAACTATACCATGCAGGAAACAAAGAACAGGTTTTTCAACTGAAATTGAGCAGTGAGTTTTCAGTAGAAGAAATGTAATCACCAATTTGTAAATCAGCTAGGATATTAGGTTTAACATCTCTACTCTCTGAAAGGTCATATACATTTTTTTTTTAAGATCAAAAGGGTCAAGTCCTTTGTTTTCTCTCACACTGGAAAGATGGTATTTCCAGCAGTGCAGTATTTCCTAACATCACGCTATGATATTTGGTTTCACATCGACTCAGAAGGAAGAGTTCCAGTTCTGAATCCCCAGCATCACCTCCTGCACTTTCTAGAATTGCTTCTAAACCTCTGGTCTAAAATATTAACTCACCCTCACCTGAGCATGACGGCAAGATCTCAAGGATCATATCACAAAGTGGTAGGATGTCAAGGATGATAAAATACCAGCTCACTATCAACACTGTTGTTATAAAACAATGTCTGGCCATATACTCATGAAAGAATGCTTCTCTTTGGGGTCACTGACTGATAAGGCATTTCAAGCTGCAAAGTAATAAAGCTGTAATAGCAGATTAGCTACGCATGGTTAGAAACACAGCATACACACCTCTGCATCAGATTCTTGGGAATTTTCCATTAGCCTCTGAACAAATGTTTCAACTATTTGTGGTCTTATAACTGAGAAGTTTTCCTGCATGACCCGATGCTTCCAGAGCTCTGGAGGGGTATGGGAGACCAAAAACAAAAGCAATGCATCAGAAGGCATCTGCATCACAAAACACTGAACCTGCTCTAATCCCAGTAAGAAAACTCCAACTGCATTTTATGGTTTAAGATTTCTTAGCTTTTTGAACAATGTATATTGCTGAAAGCAAGAACCACTACAAATGTATTGTAAGACTGGCAGGTGGCAAGAGAAGGAGGGTGCAAAATCCAGATGCAGGCTGCTAGCAGAATCAAAATATTTTATTTTCAATAGTGTTTGAGTAAAGTTGCAGAAAATACATGAAAGACAAGGATTTTTGTGGGTGATATTTTTATTGGACCAACTGAATAGCTGGGGTAGACTCAGACATGCTTTCAAATAGACATAGTTAGCCTTCTTAGTCTGAAGTCAAACAGAATGCAGGGTAGATTTGAACCTTATAGACTAACCAAGTATATGTTGTGATATGTTAAGGAAAGCTACGTGTCCCTGCAAGCTGATATTGGCAACCAGGGTGGACGACTGGAGACCCTCTCGGTTAAAA